CATACAGGTTACACATGTAGAGACGAACTGAAAAAAATGATGTTCTCTTACACAGCATTATATACACAGTCACTTATATATATATATATATATATATATATATATATATATATATATATATATATATCAGTAGATATCGGTTGGGTTTATGCGTTTCAATTTCAATCTATCGTTCTGCCTCCTCTATTCTTGCCTATCTAATTTTGTTCTAACAATATATTTTATATATATAAATATGTTCTCTAACAATATATATATATATATATATATATATATATATATATATATATATCTGTGTCTGTATATGTGTGTGTGTCTGTTCATATCTATCTTTTTTCTCAGACAGTTCATTATCTATTTATCTATCTCTATTCTTATCCGTATATATATATATATATTTATATTCTTTTTAACTCATCCGTTCATCTTTCTCGCTCTCTCTCGCTCTCTCTCACACTCTCTCTCTCTCTCTCTCTCTCTCTCTCTCTATATATATATATATATATATATATATATATAGCTATAGATATGTGTGTGTGTGTGTCGGAGTCATACTTGTCTGATTCTGTTTATATCTATCTATCTATCTATCTATCTATCTATCTATCTATCTATCCTGATATGTTTATAATAATGTCTCCTTTAAATCAAACGCAATAATTACAAAAGAATATCCTGGTCAACAGTTTTGATACTCTCACTTCCCCCATATATATATATATATATATATATATATATATATATATATATATATATATATATATATATATATATATTATCATATATATGGATATAGATCCGACAGTATGAAGAAAAATATACGGAAAAAACTAACAAAAATCCTTATAAGCAATTATGCTGTTTTAATGTTAATATGTCAACGTCAACATTAAAACAGCATAATTGTATATATAAGGATTTTTGTTTGTTTTTTTCCGTATATTTTTTCATATATATATATATATATATATATATATATATATATATATATATATATATATATATATATATATATAAAATCAATAGAACAAAACACAAGAAGAGCAATAAATATTAATCCATTATACAAAAAATTCTAAAGTAAAGCTTTACATTTGACCATTTAATAAAAGGGTTGGGTGAATTAAGAATGTCTCACTTGGACCTCTCTTCAAAAAAGAATAATTGTCCTGGCCCGTCTATTTGAAAAACAAATATATGTTCTAATGATTGTTCATAAACATTTATGATTTACTAAGTTTTTGAAATTTATAATAGAGGGCGATATAGTTTCTATCTTCTTTGTCGTTGTCTGTTTAAACATTGTGTTTGAGATTTAAAATGTAGCAATTTTAAATCATGCTTTCAGCCCGTAGTTTATACCAGTTTAGTTCTTTTACAACATATACACACATAAAATAATGTTTGTTGTATTGATTATTGATATACAATTTAATTGATACATTCTAGAAAAAAACAAGTTAATCAGCGATAATGTAGTGTTTTAGTATCCAACGAATGTGTCACATCAGTTATTATTATTATTATTATTATTATTATTATTATTATTAGCAGCAGCAACAGTAGCAGGCAAATGAATTCGCAGACCACATTTATTTGTTGAAGATTTGATGCATTTTTTTTAATAATTACTGGTTGGTCATACAACAGGATCGACAAATGCCGATGCCTGAATCTAGAAAAACCTCCAAATGATACACAATCCACTGTATATTTTTATTCGTTGTTTACAGATTTTACAGTGGCTTGATATATTATATTGTTCTGTAATCAAGTAAGAGACCTTCGTTCTTTGCTTCATTGACATATTCACAACGTTTCGGCCCTTGTACGCTCCGACATTCGTCAGGTGATTGGAATTTCGAACCGAACCCTATACTTCGTCCACAGATGTAGAATGTTCGAGTTCCACGTACCATGCGTCTTCTGGATGTTTCAGTTATTCCCCTTTACTTTAACTCTCAAAGTTTTTGGTTCACCACTGCTGTGACTTGATATTGAACTCATAACTTTTTTGATCTAGTCACTGGATCTAACCAACGTCTTAATTCTCTGGGCTATGTGTCCTCGAGGAAGAAGGCCGGAGCGTATAACGGTTGAAACGTTGTGAATATGGCAATGAAGATGAGGATAACAGTCTGAATAATGTAAATAATCATAATACCTCATCTCAGAGATCCAATCACCTGAAGAAGGCCGGAGCGTACAACGGCCGAAACGTTGTGAATATGACAATGAAGATGAGTATAAGAGTTTGAATAATGTAAATAATGTAAATAATCATAATACCTCATCCCAGAGATCCAATCATCTGAAGAAGGCCGGAGCGTACAACGGCTGAAACGTTGCAAATATGGCAATGAAGATGAGGATAACAGTTCGAATAATGTAAATAATCATAATGCCTCATCTCAGAGATATAGACAGATATTAATGAAGATTAATATTCAGCTAATTAAGTGCACTGACAAGAAAGGGGATTTTGTTAATTTTTTTTTCATTATGAAGTTGTTCGTATAGGGATTGAAATATCTTCAGGTTTGTGATCAAGAACATTTCAAAAACATTTTCAGGTTTGTGATCAAGAACATTGCAAAATATATCTTTTGGAGGGTCAACGAGAAATTCGTCATTTCGAAGTAAAAACTAAGAGCCATATTAATCAGAATAGATATTAAACCCTCAATTGAATGCATTGAAAAGGGGACATTTTATCATTTCACCCCAAACAAGGCAATAAAGCCACTAAAACGCGAAGTTATTACCGAGTGCTAATGAATATGAGAAAAAAACTACTATTAAGGAGAGAAGAAAATAAAAGAACAAGAATTAAGAAAACAGTAAACAACGATTGAAATTGCCTTTAAATTTTAATCTTTTCTTTCCAAGTAAGGCAATAAAGCTACTAAGACGCAAGTGGGGTTACTGAGTGTTAGACTATATGAGAAAAAACTACTATTAAGCAGAGAGAACACTTAAAGAACAAGAAATAAGAAGACAGAAGATAATGATTGACATTGCATTTAAATTTTTTGATGATCAAAATTGACAGGAAGACTAGCTAGACGAGAGTTCCACAAGTGCGAGAGAAGAAACTGTTAGCATAGAACTTACGGCTACATCTAACAAGTTCTACTGTAAAATGATTAGACCTTCTCGTACTACGCTTAAAATCATAAAGTTTAGGTACCATAGAGGAACGTTGATCAGAAAATTACTATTTAAACATTTATTGAAAATACATAGTAAATTTCTTGACAGGTGTTCTTTTATCGCAATGTTGGATATTTAAAATAAAATTAATGAAAACATGAAGAAAATGAACTAGAACTGTAGAAAAACCATATTTTTAAATTCAGCCCTGGCAAAATTTACCTTTATTCATTGCTGAAAATTATGTTTCATCCCCTTCAATGTGCCAAAACTTAGATTCATAGATATTTAAAATTTGGGCTTCAATGCTGGTTTTTTTATTTCAAAACAAGCAAGGCAACAATGCCACAAAGACAGAAAGTATTGCTGAATGTGAAAGAATAAGAAAAAGAAAAACATTACTAAGAAGCGAGAACCAAAAAAGAAAAAAGAAGAGGAATCAAGACGATAGTAGACAAAGATTAAAATTGCATTTGTGGAATCAGAGTTTGCAGGAAAGCAAAAAGCCGGCAGAAAGTTCTACAGCTGTTAGCACTGAACATACGGTCACATCTAAGTTTTAGGGAGTTTTATTCAACATTTCTTTTCATGGTTAGCGAAAAAGAAATTGTAAATATAGGACTACCTCACACTTATAATATTTATTAAGAATTTATTACAGGAAATAACAACTTATACGGAAACATTGTGGACAATCATGTATTTTGTTACATAACAAATAAATAAAAATAATATCAATTTTGATGCTTTGTTTGATTTGTTGTTAGGTATTTTTCATTTTCTCTTTTGTTATTGGCAACATTTTAGAATACTTTGGTTGTAATGCTAAGTTTCCTAAATTGAACAAAATGGAGCTATTTCGTTTACACTTTGTTACCTCTCTTTTCCATTATTGTTTTTAGATCGCTTTCTTGTAAACATTTTGATGGGCAAGAGCGTAATTCTGAAATTTAGAATCCTCTTATTTCATTTCAATAAAGACAAGCATTATTAAGGAGCGAGAAGAAAAAAAAGACGAGGTATCAAGAAGACATTAGACAACGATTAAATCTTCATTTAATTTTTTGAAAATTGGAGTTGGCAGCGAAGCAAGAAGCTGGAATAGAGTTCTACAACTATCAGCAATGTACATATGGTTATATCTAGCCAATTCTACTATAAGATAATGGCACCTTGCCGTCTATCTGGTACTGCGCTTAAATTCATAAAGTCTACGCACAAGAGCGCGGAATCCATCAGAACAATTACCATGAAATTATTTGTAGAAAAGGCACATGGAAACTATGTTAAGGTGATGGTTAGTGACTAAAGCTGAGATGCCAGATCAGGACCGATAAAATTGCAGATTCTAATTTGTAGAATCTCTAAATTCACAGCCTAAGTACCAAACCAGAAATGGCTGATTGAAAGATAAATATTTGTTTCATGTCTTTTTAAGCTTCGTGTATATTGATTCAAATATCTTAATAATTGAATATAGGATTAAAAAGTCAAGTTCAAAATATATCATCTGCAGGGTTAATAATATTCGTCACTTGTAAGTTTAAACTGAAACCAAAGTTGCAAACTCGCCCCACGTTTCTTAGAAATTCGAGAGAGAAACTTTTAGGAAATAAAGTCGACCCAGCCTGCAGTTGGCTGAATCAAAACGTTTAAAATGAATGACAGCAAAAAAAAAAAAAAAAATGAAACAAGGGAGAGGGGCGTTTTCGTGCACCTTGTGCCTGTTCTTTCATTATTTCTTTCGTAAAGAATTTGCTGGATACACCGGTAGCGAGGCGCATTGTAAATGTTTGACGAAATCACTTTTGTTCAGCGTGGCCTTTGATCTCTTCACATCAGTAAACATGGGGTCGGCTTGCTCCTGGCCCTCACAGCGGGAAGGAGAGGCCCGTGTTGAAGGTCAGAGACGTCGGAAAAACCTGTGCTGGAATTTCGAGGTAGAGGGAAGAGATGTGAGAGAATTGGTAATGCTCGTTTGGCGAGACAGGTTTACTTGGTCGGATGGTTCGTTGGCTTTAGCATGAAAGTCTTGCCCAAAGAGCGAATTGGCGGTGGTATGACCAAAAAGTGCTTAATTAAATCTTTATAAACATCGTTGGGAAGAATTTTTTCGTTACTTCAAACGTTGCCATGATAGCCTCAAGTGTCAGACAAGGTTATTTATTTGTTTGTATGCTAATTTGCCCGCCACATCAATCCGAATTGTATTCTTTCTTTCTTTCGTCCTCTCTTTCTTTTCCGGATTTTCTTTCTTTCTTTTGTTCTTTCTTTCATTTCCAAAACAGTACCTTTCTTATTTTCCTTATCCAGATTCTTTCTTTCTTTTCCAAATTTCGTTTCTTTCTTTTTACTTTTTATTTCTTTAATTTCTGTATCTTTCTTTGTTTTCCGGACATTTTTTGTTTGTTTTGAAGTTTGTTTCTTTTTTCGTTTGTTTCTTTCTTTTTCTTTCTTCCTTTCTTTCTTTTCTAAATTTTGTCTCTTTCTTTCTTTCTTTCTTTTCTAAATTTTGCCTCTTTCTTTCTTTCTTTCTTTCTTTCTGTTTTTTCCAGATTTTGTTTCTTTCCTTCTTTCTTTCTTTATTTTCCCGAATTTGCTTTTCTTTTCCAGATATTGCTTCTTTCTTTCTTTTTTCTTTCTTTCTTTCTTTCTTTCTTTCTTTCTTTCTTTCTTTCTTTCTTTCTTTTCGAGATTGTTCTTCTTTCTTTATTTTTTCTTTCTTTCTTCATTTCTTTCTTTCTTTTCTAAATTTTGCTTCCTTCTTTCTTTCTTTCTTTCTTTCTGCCTTGTAGAATATCCTTTTCGATTCCTTGATTCGTTTTTACGTCTTACCAACCCATTTCAGATTATTTAAAGCCAAATATATCATTCCTTCTAAGAATTTAGCGGGGGGGGGGTAATAGTGGTTTAGTGATAAAAGCCTTACTAATTAACCAATAGGTGGGTGATAAGAGACGGATTCATGTCTTTCCCCAAGAGTATTTGAGCGTAAGTGAATATAACGAACCCAACGGGAATTGGAACTCGGATCTCCGATTAACAATTCCCAGCCATTATCTGTTAAATCACCTGCAGATCCATCTAACCAGGCTAGATGTTGCTTAATTTCAATGATCGCGCGGGAACGGGTGTTTCGATGGGATATGACCGTAAGCCTTTATATTATTCAGCACAATTCATTTTTTTTCATTTTTTTATATCTATTGCGTTTAAGACGTAAAATTTCTTTTTAAAGTTTCTAGGACTTAGTGCGAAGAGGGGTTACAGTATACAAGCTCCTAAAACACGACATACATTCCGCCGTTAAATAACACGCAAAGGGTCGATAAACCGTAAAAAAGTTCAATGAGTCGATATATACTATTTGGTATATAAAAATCATATATATATATATATATATATATATATATATATATATATACTTGACCCAGCGATGGAGCGGTTTGTGGTGGGAGAGAAAAGTCGTGGTTCTTGAGGCACACTCCGTTGGTTTATGAATACTTAGATGAGTATCACCACGGAATTTGTGAGTAGCGGCGCTATATCAAGTCTATTCAGTTTCTTCTTCGTCGCCGAGGACCCTTGGTGCAGTTGGTATGACGCTTGCATTGTATCGTACCGGTCCGCATTCGAATCTCGATAGTGGATGCGCACTGCTGATGAGTCCCAGTGCTTTCTGCCTTCTGTTGAAGATCTTTCCAGACTCGATGCAATACTATAATGTTTGCCTAAAATTCTATTACATTCATATTTTTGGACAGCATGTTTTCATTAAAACGTCTTATCAAATTATTTTCACAAGTTTTGTCTACTTCTTTTTAATAGGACTCTCTCATAATTACGGACAATTTTCTTAGTATCCTTATTAAAGGAAGAAATGTTTGATGCATATTCATTTGTTCTGAGGACTTTCGACATCAGCACAGTGTCATCATCAGAGTCTTGTTTTTTCTAAGACAAAAAAAAAATCCCTATCTATATTAGAATAATGAAACTAATCCTTAATAAAATTAATTATGAATACTGGACAAATGTTTTAAAATCTGACTGTTCCTTTGGTGTGATTACGATACCTGCTGCTAGGAAAGTTTGTTCAGTAAGGCTAAATAATCTTATTCTCCAGAATTTATCTTAGATATTTATTGTTCTACCATTCGTCCATTCCTTGAATATTGCTGCCACATATGGTCTGGTGCTCCTGATATATATTAAGAGATTCTTGATAAAAATCCAGAGAAGAATCTGCAATGTTATTGATCCTGACTTGGCACCCGACTTTCTCACCGGCATAATGAAGCTTCACTTTGCCTTTTCTATAAATATTTTCAATTTTTCTTTGCTTCA